CATACAATCAGGCCTACCAGCAATATCCATAACCTCCAAATCCAGCACCACCACGACCCCAAGCCGGTCAAAAAGCCCTCAATCGCACGCAACCAGAACATGCGCCCCTAATTAAACACACCACACCACCGAAAAACTCACCAAAATGCGTCTCGCCCACCTGCACATCCCAGACATAACGTCCTTCACACGGGTCTCCAACCTACAACAAACCCTCACAACGCGACTCCTCGCCCACAAAAAGCTCACTCCCAAAGAATCCCTGCCGACCACAAACCCCCCGGACCCAACCATCATAACCTTCACCCCGAACCCGGTCTACACAACAGGCCGCCGCGACCTCCCACCCTCCAACACAAGCCCCTCAGCAGCGCTCTCGCTACCGCCGCCGCTCGAGCCGATCCGCTCGCTCCTCACCTCCGCCAACGGCGCAGAGTACCACCCCACGCTCCGCGGCGGGCAAACGACATACCATGGCCCCGGGCAGATGGTAGCCTACACGATCCTCGACCTGCGGCGGCTGGGGCTCACGCCGAGGTGCCATATCCGGGTGCTGGAGAATAGTGTTGTGGATGTGTTGCGCGGGTACGGGATCCGGGGATTGATTACGGAGGATCCGGGGGTGTGGGTGCCGCCAGTGGGCGGGGAGGGAGTGCCGAAGAAGGTCACGGCGGTCGGGGTGCATCTGCGGCGGAATATCAGTAGCTATGGGATTGGGTTTAATGTCACGGAGGAGCCGATGTGGTGGTTTAAGCAGATTGTGGCGTGTGGGCTGGAGGGGAGGGAGGCGACGAGTTTGGAAGGGCAGGGGGTGTCTGGGGTTGAGATTGGGGAGGTTGCGGAGCGGTTTGTAAGTGCGTTTGTGGAGAGGATAAATCAGGATTTTGCTTGTGGTGAAGGTGCAAAGGGGGAGAAGATTGAGGGGGTGTATAGGGTTACGGAGGAGGATGTGCTTGGGGTGGATTAGGTGGTTGGTTGGCGGGTTTGTATAGATAGCTTCGGAGCTGTGTAGATTATGCTATGCAGCTGGAATCCAAAATTAGAGTCATCAATTGGTAGATAGTACACATCTGCAGGTCTAGCAATAGTAATAAATAGAGCTGATTCTCCCGGTCTTCTGCCATTGACCCAGAAACATGATACCCGGCAGTAGAAAGATTCAGTTGAGTAAAGCGTGATTGCCGAAGTCCATTCCAAGCTGGGTCAGTTCGTCTTTTCCAGAATATTAAGCGTACATAATTAGGAAAGAGGATGCAGCAAAGTATATATAAAGAAGAGAAAAAAGCAAATAGCCACACAAATAGGCTGAAGAGCTGACATCATAATAAAGATCAGTTGCGCCCGGTTTGGGACGTTTGCAGCTCGTCGTGGATAGTCCCAAAGGGCGCAACGGATAAGAAACAAATCAAAGGGTATACGAACAAATGATAGAAACCGTCAAAGAAGCTAAGAGTTGCAACGGGAGAACCGTTTACAGGATGACACATCCTTCCTTGGAAGCATTCGATCCCGAGACTTTCACTTCAAGGGCAACCTTGGCTGCTTCGTAAAAAGTCTCCATGATGCCGCGATTCTGAACGGCAGAGCATTCTGTCATTGGATGGTTAATAAGACTCATTCTCCCAGATCGCATGGCATCAACGTTACTTACCCAAGTACTTCACAGCACCGATCGCCTTCGCCTTCTCTAGACCTTGCTCGTACGTGATAGCGTTCGGGTTGGTATTCTCGAATTCATCCTTTCTCAAGTCACACTTGAGCGCTGTGAGAACCATCTTAACACCGGGGCAGTTCTCCGTAATCTCCTCGACCCATTTGGATGCGACGTTCTCGAACGAATCCGCGCTGTCAACCTGCATTCGAACATTTAGTCGATATCCACCGATACTAGGGCGCAAGGGTTCCTCACGCTGAAACAAAGCATAATCACATGTGTATCCTCGTACGATAGCGCACGCAATCGGTCAAATTCCTCCTGGCCAGCGGTATCCCAGAGCGACAATTCCATGTGTACATTGTCGACGAAAATATCTAGGGAGTCATGAATATACGAATTGGACATAGAAGGGGCGAAGGCGATTACCGTGGACATAGTTTTCTAGAGAGATCATGGTTAGCCAACGCAAACGATTAGGAAGGGGCTAAGTACGTACCAAAAACAGTCGGCTCACTGGGCGGGGAGTAGTAAGGTCAATATCGCAGAGTGCATAACCATGGGAAAGAGCGTGTATCTTACTATACTGTTGGGAAGAACCTATGCACCAAGGATTAGTGGACCTCGTAAAGAGAACGGGCGGGAGAAGTTTATTACCCTCTTGTGAACACGTTCAAGGCCGAAGTCTTGCCACAAGCACCGTCACCTCTAATCCAGTGGTTAGAAATCTGTCCTCCGGGTGGTGAAAGTCCTGGATTTTACTAACAGCAGCACCATCTTCCGACGGACAACCGTCTGACGCCCGCACAAACCCATCGTGGAAGGATCGTATTCAAGAATTTGGTACGGTATGCGCGAGGAGTAGCGAGAAGGGAGGAAGGGATGCGATCAATTAGGTCTGGGTCGGGACAGACGTATATATCTAGAATATATAAGAGAAATATGGGGCAAAGAATAATTTTTGCACTTCAGTGATAAGCAAATGAGGAGTTTGTGGCACTGGTGGTGAGGGAAGCAAAGCCACCGGTCATGGGCCGTGCAGACGATGTCATCGGACCTTGAAAGGGTCGGCGAATGAGACGATCCTCATCTGCCAAGGACTGAGGTCTAATTTCGCCTCGCCGGGGTGCCTGAATCTCACGAAGTGTTCAGTTCTCATAATATATGCCACACCCTGGATATCAAACTATGTTGCAATCTTGTTGTTGGTGGGATCTCAGTGGTTGTGATATCCGCATGTGCTCCATATATGGGGTTTTGTCTTCTGGTACCTGCTTGCACAAGCTTCAAACTAAATAATGGCTTTGTCTTACTTATTGGTCTTTTCTTTACACCATATTTTTTATTTGCTTCACTACATTGCATATATATTCCAATGATGAGTTCTACGCTACTCAACTAGCATTTACATACCCATATCAGAATAGAAACAAAGAGGTTCAACGTTTAACGCAATTACTTTCTAGACTTCTCAAATGCCGTCATCAAGCTGCGGTGAGCTCACTCGATACCGCGTCTCCACTGTCTTAACTTGAGGTTATAAATTTAGAAAACATAGCCTACCACCATGATAGCACTTTCCAATGACGAATAAATCACAGGTTAGCTGATGGATCATGGGCAATCCTTCTACATTGCAGTTATTTTAAGGCAGTGACACGGCATTTGTTCATATTTCCCCGTTATATCTCAACAGCTATATATAAATATCCAGCCTGTAAATATTCGATAGCATACTATACTGCAACATGAATTGTAATCCACATCACCGGTCCATTCTAGATTTTGGCAATTGATGACGCTTCTCTGTCGTCTGTGATATATAATACAGCGATATGGATATATATTACTTTCATATACGTATCGACATATGTTGTGCGACATCGACCCTCTCCTGTTTCATGTAGATGTTTGGCCAGTTCAGACGAAAACAGGAATAGTAGCCTATAGGTTATCAATCAGGCCTAGATAACCAAAGCAACGAGGCACTGCAAATAGTTCCAGATCAATTCCTGATCAAGAAAGATTGAAAAGTACGGTCGGACCCATCGACCTTGGACTAAGTCAGTGGTAGCGCGGGGAACGTAAGAAAGAAGGTGGTTGACAACCCCGGCCTCCGATAGGCTGCCGGCAAGCTCCATTTGTCTCTCACACTCTCTCTTCGACGCCTATTATCTACCTCAAACAACAACAATAACTGAACGACTTTCACGTGTACCCTTACGAAATCCCCTGGCCTCCACCTAAAATTCATATTACCGATAGACAAGAAATACCCGAAACTACGAAAATAGAGCTTCACAAAGCTACCCCAAAATGTCTGACGATGATGACTTCATGCAAGATTCTGGTGACGAAGAGTGCGTATCTCCCGCCTGATACGGGGGGCCGTGGGAACGTATGATTAACTCCTGCTAGTTATGACTTTGAGTACGAAGATGCGGACGACGACGAGTCGGGTGACATCGGGATCGAGAATAAATACTACAACGCCAAACAAATGAAGATAGATAACCCAGAGGAAGCGATCGATGAGTTCCTGGAGGTACCGGCTCTGGAGCAAGAGAAAGGCGATTGGTAACTATAACTTGCAGTTGTCGGGCTGGCTGGACAGGCCGCTGATGATATGAAGGGGTTTTAAAGGTCTCAAGCAAGCGATAAAATTGGAATTCAAACTCGGACGATACAGCGATGTAGGTCTTTCTTGAGCGCCCTCCATGTGTCTGGATGTCTTGCTGATTGGTCTAGGCGGTTGAACATTACAGAGAACTCCTTACCTACGTCAAGTCGGCCGTCACACGAAACTATTCCGAAAAGTCTATCAACAACATGTTGGATTACATCGAGAAGGGCTCGGACGACGACAAGGCTTATCAGTGTATGGAAGAGTTCTATTCGTTGACGCTACATTCGTTCCAGAACACAAATAACGAGCGTCTGTGGCTGAAGACCAATATTAAACTGGCCCGCCTATGGCTAGAACGCAAGGAGTACGGTCAACTGAGCAAGAAGGTGCGGGAGTTGCATCGGGCATGCCAGCGGGAAGATGGGTCGGATGATCCCAGCAAAGGAACGTACTTACTGGAACTATACGCACTGGAAATCCAAATGTATGCCGAGACGAAGAACAATAAGCGACTCAAAGCCCTGTATCAGCGCGCCCTCCGTGTGCGGTCGGCGGTCCCGCATCCTAAGATCATGGGCATTATCCGGGAATGTGGAGGGAAGATGCATATGAGCGAGGAAAACTGGGAAGAGGCGCAGAGCGATTTCTTTGAGTCGTTCCGGAACTACGACGAGGCGGGTTCGATGCAACGTATCCAGGTGCTCAAATATCTGGTGCTGACCACCATGCTGATGAAATCCGACATCAACCCGTTCTATTCGCAAGAGACCAAGCCCTACAAGAGCGACCCGCGCATCTCGGCCATGACCGATCTCGTCGATGCCTTCCAGCGGGACGATATCCACGCGTACGAGGCGGTCTTGAGCAAGAATCCAGATGTCCTGGCCGATCCTTTCATCGCAGAGAACATCGACGAGGTCAGCCGAAACATGCGGACGAAGGCCGTCCTCAAGCTGATCGCACCCTACACGCGGTTTACGCTGGCCTTCATCTCCAAGCACATTAAAATCTCGATCCCGGAGGTCCAGGACATTTTGAGTTTCCTGATCCTAGACAAGAAGCTGAACGCCAAAATTGACCAAGAAAATGGAACGGTTGTCGTGGAAAGCACTAGTGACGTGGATCGACTACGATCCCTCGAGGAGTGGAACGCATCGCTTCGGACCCTTTGGCGGGCCACCTTAAATGACGGGGAAGGGTTCAGGATGGACGAAACGTCTCAGCTCCACGGGTTGAGAGGCGGACCCCTCTTCCAATCGGGATTTGGCGATGAAGCACCATCTGCAGCGAGTTTACGTACTGCGCGCCGATTACGGGCTGGATGGAAGGGTAGTAAAGGCTCAGGACACGGGCCCAGGGTTACAGGTGCAGGCGGATATTAGGTGTGTGATGTAGCAGTAGCAGTAGCAGTAGTAGTCCGTGGGCGTGGAAGGAAGTAGACAAGCAGACGTAATCCTAGTTTGCTGCAGAGTTTAATAATGAAAAGGGATATACAAAGAGGAAACAATCAATCAATGAATGAATGAATGAATGAACCAATCCACAAACCGCCCCCATCAAACTAGTTGACACTACAACAATCAAAGCATACAGACATACATACATGCACTTGCCAACACAAAGGCCAGCAAAAGCCAAAATAGAACGAAACCCCAAAGGAAAGTTAAAAAATAAAGAAAATAAAACAAGCGAACCAGGCACCAAAGGACACGCAAAAGAAGAAAGGGTAAAAAAAATTCTGCAAGATGCATACACTAAAAGGACCAAAAGTCAGGAGGACCCAGTTTCATCGCTCATCAATCCTTTATCATCATCCATAGCTATGCAGGCTGCGTCTGCGTTGCGGTTCAATGATAGGACCAGAACACCGTAAGGAAAGCAGTTGACGGTCCCATGGTCCACCTAATGAGAGGGGGATCCACAGAGACAACATCCGCTGTGGGGACCCGGATTCCCACCTTTCGCTTGGGGTTGAAATGCTGGGTACGTGTATGCAGAGGTAAAAAAAAATAAAATAAATAAATAAAAAAGGGAAAACAGGGAGATAAGAGACTTTGCAGATGTATGGAGATGTAGTGCTCGGTTTGTTCTTCTGTTTCCTTATGCATGGGCCAGGAATCAGATCCAGGAATGGATATTGTCTTACGAAGCCTGGAGGTATACTCGGTGTCACATCAAGATTGATATCGGAGAAGATAATAACTAGTGACAAGTCGGATTTCCACCGGGTGTCAGCAGCTCTGATCAAAAGTTAGATATGGTGGAATGGAGACACGGGTCGTACCGACATAGTTAACTAAACGCCTTGCGTGAACTAAATGGCTAATGGGGCCAGTCAATGATTCAGCGAAGAAACCACAACGACAGGGATGCTACAGAACGATCTAATATAAAAATAGGCGATCAACCGGCAGAAGTGGGAACAATTATTGGATGTAAATGGTGTGATGGGAGGGCAAAACATCTGCTTCTCTCTCTCTTATGATAATTATTGCTAAACTGGAAGGATCATGTCCACCATTGTCGCAACATAGGAGTGCAGGTAGTAATAATTCATACAATTATAGAGCACTGCGGCCGAGTGGAGTTGATAGTAAAATATGCGTGTGTGCGTTCGTTAATTTCATTGTTTTCTTTTTTCTCCCTCGCCTTGCCAAGAGGGAACAGAACCTGGTTACTGGAGTACTTTCAACAAATTGGCCGCCTGCCATCGAATAATACTAGTTTGCCCCACTGAAGGTTGGGCTATCGTGTTAGGAGGGGAACGGAGAAGTCCCGTGGGCCTTCTTGTTTTTCCCTTTTTTTTTACCTTCTTTTCTCTATGCTTTTCATTGTTCGTTCCCGAGGCGCTTAGAACAACTTGGGTTGGGGGGGTTTTTTTTGATTAGTGGATACAGGCATGGTGACGATAACGTTAGCTTATGATGTGGATATACATGATACATGCTCGGTAGACCTGGAGTTTGTTTGCTTCCTGGAGTCCATCAGCTACTAGAAGCTAGTAGTCAATGGGGTCCCTGTGTGTGCGATAGTGGTGCTATTGGACGGAAGCTATCACTTAACGTTTGGTGATGAGGTATGTTACTTACGTGTCGTTTAGGTACCGACTCAGTGTCAGAGTAGGTTCTGATAGGCGTCAATGTCAGGTACCTACCATTGGAAGGATCCTTGGCCTGTAATCGGTCACATCATAATAGCACTAGTTATACCGAATCTTCATCCTTGTCTGGACGGTTAAGGCACCGAGGAATCTCCGGGGTTTGCATCCACCCACTTTGGACCTTAACTCTCTTGATTTAAGTACCTGGATTATGGATGTTGAGCTGCTCATCTTGG